TAATAGTAATATTATGATTTTATTAGTGTTCTCTAATTGCAACCCTCCCTAAATGCACGCTCTAGAGCTGGTCCTGATGACTTGCATTTAGAAAGGTTTGACTGTATTTGTTTTTTAAATGAAGATAAAAAAGTTTTAAAACCTGACCATTAATATTAGTAAGATTTTACTATTTACTGTTTAATTCTATAATTATAAGAGTTTTAATTATTTTATATTTAAGTATCTGTTTGTATATTGGAAAAGAGAAGTATAATATGTTAACAAAGATTAGATGAATATTTGCAGATGAGCTTTAGAACCTTTAAAATAATGGTTTTCTTGATCATAATAATATTTGTTGGCTAGTAGAGTTGTATTTTTCTAGAGATTAGAAGTTTATATATATAATAATAGGACTTAATACTCCAAACTCTAACTATTTTTGTCTATATTGTAATTGTGATGCAGCAACTTGGTGGGATATGGATCGAGTCTGGGCTATAGATACCAGGAAAATAGGTTTTCAAAAAAAGTCTATTTTGTCTTCATTAGAGCAAATTGAAATTTTTTATAAGAAAGAGCAAATCTAATTTATATAATTATATTTCTTATAATTTCGTCTATTCAAAAAAAAGTATCAAAAAATTTTATCTTTTAAGTAAAAGTAAGTTAAAACAATTTTGGCATCAAATTTTAATTTCAGATTTTAAAATCTAAAATAATTTCATCTTTATCTATAGTTTGGGCTAATACTGAAGATTTAAAATATAATATTATATTTATTATATATCTATATATATAAGCTTTATTTAATAAAATAGTAACTGTAGTCAATTTATTATTAGTTAATAAAATATATTTTATTAATTTAAGCTGATTTTTCAAAAATTAACTTAGTTTAACCAATTTGAGTTAGTTATATATACAGTATGACATGCCTGAAGTTAATACTAAAAATTGTATCTAGATAGATATTTTTTATATAGCTACAAAAATTATCTAGATAATTAAATAATTTAATAATATCTAGATAAAGATATTTTTAATAGATATAATTTCTAGTTGATATTTGCTTGAAGTCGATTTGATTAAATTAGCTCTGAGATTAGATTATTTTGCATATATTAGCAAGTAGTTTTAGGCAAGTATAATAGTGTCTGAGATTGCAGCTTTAGACACAACATATATAAGTGCTACTAGGAAAAACTTGTTATTAGGCTTTCAAGTTTATTATTTACTAAACTTAGTCTATTAAATTTTTAGTAATTGTGTTTGATACAAAATATAATTAAAAGCCCAATGACAGGCTTCTTTTGGTGGCTTATATAAGATATTTTGAAGAACTAAACTTAAAAATATATAGATTTCAAAATATTTAAAAACATCAAGTAAAGACAAATAACTAAAAATTTTTACCAAACTTAAAATAGCAAGAATAGCCAAGTAAAGAATTCTAATTGTACTATCCAGGACATATTTATTACAAATAGTCAACTTGGTATAGTTGACTAACTAATTTTTAAACATTAGCTTAGCAGTTATGAGACATGTCCTACCTAATGATTTTACTAGTAATTAATTTTTGTGTAATATAATTAAAAGTATCATTTTTTTTTAACAGCTTTGATTTTTTAATAGCAAACTATACTTTAATCTTAGACAAGTTTTATTTTTTAAGTTTCAGGCTTTTGATTTATATTAAAAATATTTATATTATTTTATTTTTTATAAAATAAAATCGCAACTTTTTAATATAAATATGAAAATTATATTTTAAGTATTGTAAAATAAGATCAGTTTTACTTTGCTAATAGTGATAAACAATAAGTATTACAACTTTTATTATTAATACAAGGGCACTTTAGTTGCAACTTTTAGACATTTAATAAGAGGTGTTTTTTTATAAAATAAATTAGAAAATTAATTCAGATTTATTTATCTTTATTTCTTTTTGTAGAATCTACAAATATATGATTTTAAAGACACTTATTAACAGGGTAACAAATTTAATATTTAAATAAAATTAAAAATCTTTAAATTTATTAAAATTTTGAATTCTAGACAAATACAATAAAACTGAATTTAGAAAGAGGATATATATACTTATAGTAGATATGCTTATAAAGATTTCACTGTAATAAGACTTGTAATAGCTGTATTCTTGATTTAACAAAGACAGGTCTAGTTAAATGAATTTATTTTTATATACCAATAATGATTTAATGCTATTTTATTTTATTTAATGATTTTTGTGATTTCTCTAATACTGCTTAACTCTTTCTTTTGTCCAATCTGGAGAAACAATAAGAAGTTCCAATAGCACTTTCTGAATTTCATTTTCAGATACTATATCTTCAAGTTTAACCAATTGTGCAAGTATTGTTTTTTTGTTTTAGTTGTAGTATGATATGAATATTTATTAGAATTTGTTATAAAAGATAATAACAATATTTGTTGTGATATTAAAGTATTCTGCTAAGCAGTCAGTTCTTGAGTAGAATTGCCTATTTGATAACATTTTTGTTTTCTTATACTTTCAAAATAAGTATAGGTATAGCATTTTATATTCCACATATAATGTTTGGAAGTTTGGGGTTTTGTTTTATATATATCTTTGGTAAGCACTTTCTAAAAGTGTAATTTTCTAGCTTCATAGAAAGAAATAATATTCTTAACATTCTCTTTATTAATTTCTAGTGCTTTTTCAAATAGATAATATGTTATAAGATCTAGACAGTTAAAGACAGATATTATATTTGCAACTAAAGTCCAGAGTGAATCTTTACATAACTTGGTTGTATGAAAATTTTGGCTTAATACAATATTGTTAATATATTCTGCAAGTAGTATTGATAGATGATCTCTTTTACTCTGGACTACTTTAATCTTCAGCATTATAGTCTTTTGATCAGTAAGATTGCCAGTTATATTTTGTTTGATGAATTTTATACTATATGTTTTATGTACTTTGTCAAAAGTAAAATAATGCCCTTTGCTTATAAGGTTTACTAAACATGCTATTTGCAATAACTTTTATAGCTATAAATTATCATAAACCTGGGCCAAAAAGTATACTATAGAACTTGCATATTTGAATTTTTTAGCTACAAAAAAAAAAGGTGCAAATACAGCCAAATTTGCTATCTGCATTCTGTAATTTCCTCTTCTAATTTTGATTTTATAGCCTATAAAGTATTCTGTTTAGCAAAAGAAAAAATATTATATTTTTATTAGGCAATTATCACTAACTAAAATATTATTCTTTGTTTTTTTCTCTTTTTTAACATGCTGACATAACACAATCCTAACTGCGACCCAGATCAATTCTAAAACACAACATGTTGTATGATAATCTACTACATATTTAAATTTTTCTAGATATCATACTCTAAGAGTTGCTGCTAGGTTAAATATTTTATAACTAGAAAATATTATAATTAAAGTATAGCACATGTTTTTAGACATGTGCCACTGTTCTAAAATAAGCTAGACATTATTGCAAGTTTCTTTATAAGAAATTAACCTTCCAAAAATTGCTTGATCGCATGCGATATATAAATATTTATCACAACTATGAGGTAAATACATGAATATTATTATTGCAGTTGGGCAGATTACTGAGTTTTAATATTACAATTCTTGGTAGTAAAATATTGCATCCTAGTGGTATTTAGAGTGTATATCTTTTACTTCAAATTCATTTATATAGTGCTGGAACTTATACTTAACAATTATATGATCTAAAATACAACATTTTTCAAAATGCTACTCTACTTTAAACAGAAATAATTTCAAAAAAGTAAACCAATAACTTTGTAGATTACAGTGTATTTTATAAAGTTATTAGTTTAATTTTTTCAAAAAATATTTCTACAAAAAGTTTTAGCACTTTAAAGTTGACTATTTTCTATATGTTTTTTTTCAAAATTGAAACAAATCATGACAAATCATAGATGATTTTAAAGCATTTGATTAGTTAATATTTATTGCCTAATTGATACAGAAATAATTTAAACTATTTATTATCTGATTGATACAGAAATAATTTAAAATTTGCAAATTGCTATTGTATTAATCAAATAAACTTTTTAATAAATTTTGTATCTAAATAAAGTTTTGTTACCATATAAAATTTGTTACTTGTTAATTAAAAGAAATCCTTTTAAAATATTCTTAAGCTTGAGTATCAATTAAATAGTTTTAGTGTATTGTAGATTAATGTTCATTTATATATAAAAAGTATTTTTGGTTAATTTATAATCCCACATCTTAACAAAAGAAAATGCTATGTAAGAGAATTATCTAGAAAATGTGGCTGCTTTGCACCTCGAAAAGCTGTTGTATATAAAGATAACATAGTAGAAACATGTGATAATACTGTAATGCAGGATAAGACTAGTTATATGGATATGAATAATATAATACAGAATAATATTGATAAAATAAAGCAAGCCAGAATATCAAAAACAACCATTTGGAGAAAAAAACAAAAAAAAGCTAATACATTATCATATAGTAACCAATTAGTTACTTTGCCATATCAACCTTCACCTGTTTATACTATAGCATCATTGTTCAAACCATTATTGACTAATATTATATCATTAGTATCACGGTCTTTATCAAAATCTCTTCCAATAGCTATACGAAACTCTCTAGAAACTATGAAAAAATTACAAATATATTTGGGCCAATCTATTAATATTGAGACTCCACTTTCAGTAACAAATAATCAATCAATTCATATTTTATTACCACTATTACTACAATTATCTCCAATTCATGTTTTATTACCACCATTACTACAGTTACCTTCAATTCATATATATAATTCATTATCTAATAAAGTTGCAAAATTACAAATGTGCTTAGATGAAGTTACTCAACAATGTTTAATTACAAAATCCTCAAACAGTATATCTACATATGAGGGTGAGTCAATAGAAACACACCAAATCTTTTTTAATGAAATTTTTTTAAATTTTAAACAAATATAACTCAACAAAAACTTAATCAAATCT